ACGTGTGCAGCCGTCTAATGCAATGCTAATAAGTATTCGTCCATCAAATATGCCAGTAATCTCTGCAAAGAGGAGAGAGCCGTCCGATGTTGACTGGACAACTCCTAATCGTCAATGGTAAACTATTTTACGAGTGAATGGTAGTTTTATTAGGTAAATCTTCTAAGTTTTCGCGTCAATATCTCTCTGAAGACACATAAATGTACATGAAATCTACCGCGAAAAAAAAAAATACGAAAATCAGCAGGTAATACTTTGAGTTACGAGGGTGTACTCGTAAACTCAAAATTGTGACTGAAACGTTACCCGGCTGATTCCCGCCTCAACCGGAAGACATCTTACGCTTATCAGTGTTCTAATTGCCATTATTATGGCTCGATTAAAGAGATTCTCCATTTATACTAAAAATGTATGCGCTGTCGTTTAATGAAAGCAATAAGAAAATTCGCAGGTAACTTTTTGAGGCATGAGCGTGTGACCACAAAGAAGACCTCATCTGGCAGATTTGACTTGGTTTGAACTCATTTGATCTGGAAAATATTGACCTAATATCATGAAATTGACACACAATCAAGTTTCCTACCACCTCCACCCACCCTATAAATTTTTTGCTTCTTTGTTCCCATAGGAGCTGAGATCTTATGGGGGGAGGGGGGCGACATTCGCTCCCCCTTCCACTGGGCGTAGGTCTTGGAACCCTTCTACTCCTCGTGCGGTTAAATGATCGAAAGGCCATCGTAGTGCTTTTAAAGGCTTTTCATCATCACCTGCCACTTGCATCAAATCCAACCAAAAGATTTGAGGATGGTTTTTATAGGCATGTATTCATATCTTCTTTAGAGCGATTGCACAATTTCTGTGCGTTTAGTGAAACATTTCACTAACACCATGTAAATAATAACAGACAAAATACTCCAGGCAAAACAATAACAACAACGTACATATACACTGTCATGCTTTCGTTGCAGCAAAAGCGAAATACCGTTTACTCCATAAGACACATTTGATGCCCATGTAATGCACATTACCTGCAAACTTGAACAATTACTCAGCATATCAGCAATTCATCAACACCCATGGAGCTCACTCTCGAGCCCAATCACCGGTAAAACAATCTACACAACGATCTTGTCTGAGTAATTTCGAGAGTAAAAGCACGATGTGTAATGTGCTGAACATCGCTGATTTCTCCGATATGGACACTCCGCCGGGGAAACTCATCGTCTCGACCCCGCGGCGTCGAACCTGACCCTGATCGGTCACACTTCAGCTCCTTTGGATCGCTGATCCCATCTGCAACCTCTTCTCCCTCCAGCTACAGCCCGGGTACAGGGCGTCACAGCCGCCTCTGCTGTGGACGTCACCGATGGCGCTGCACAAGTCGTTAAAACTGTGCCGAGCAGTGGACGAAAAACTCAGGAACCAAGAGATGGGTAGCCTGGAAAGGCAGGTGAAGTCAGTAGGTGCCGTGAAATCAGATGATCATCAAAAGACATAAGACTGTTGAGGTTTCATCAAGGACAACATTTCATTCATCTTTCTCAATTGAAGACCGAAAGTATTCACACGAATAACTAATAACAGTCTGACCTTTTGACCTTATCCCCGTCGCATTGAATCACTGAGCTAATCAATCCAAAGACCAGGCCCTTTGAGCTCTCTTCCCCAATCGGTTTACCCCTTTGATCCCACTACTTCAATCAGTGTGACCTTCTGAGCTTACCCTGCCAGTTTGACCCCTGTGTAGATCTGCGGCGAGAGATCCTCTGCATCCTCGTTGATTCTGCAGAGTCGGAGCGGAACACACGGATCCTCGTTGTCCATCATCAGCTTCAGGTAGCGACTGATGAAGTGGAGTCCCTCCATGTTGAACGTGCCGTCAAAGAGGCCGTCTGTGAAAACAAGAGTTACGCCGTCTTGTGAGATGTGGAAGGAGCGTGAATGTTGAGCGTCTTTGGCAAAGTACGCAAAGTTGAAAAGCCTTTTGTGTATTCCACTAGAGTCGACTATGCTCAAAAGAAGCGATTACAAATATAGTTGAGATGATACAAGTATTGCTTTCATGTGATATCATCGCACCGCTAAATTTTGGAACGCATCGAACGAGCTGAACAGGCAAAACAACAGCGGATCCAGATTTTTGGCAAATTTTTATTTTTACGGCCGCCAACTTGGGGCGCCGTCTGTGAGCTGCCGTCTGTTGTTGAGCCCGCGGCCCGTTCTTTTTCTCAGAGCCTCTGGATGCGCTGTTGTCTTACCATTCGGCAAGGATCGGGCAGCAGCTGCTGCCGCCGCCTGCTGGAGCGCAAACGCGGCCAGCACAGCCAACGCAGTGAAGCCGGCCAGCGCTCCCACCAGGCCCAGGAAACAGTCGCAGAAGCCACCCTCCTCCTCATACTGTAACACAGCGGCGTGACCCGGTCAGAGGTCAGAGGTCAGGGTCACGGAGGGGCTCACCAGAGGGCAGACTCCTGGCCGCCGCCGCCGCTACCGCCTGCTGCAGAGCGAAGCCGGCGATCGCGGCGAGTGCGGCAAATCCGGCTAGCGCGCCGATAATGGCGCGGAAACAGTCGCAGTCAGCCTCGTGATCCTTGTACTGGTGGCAAGAGTTATGGGTTAGGGTTTTGCATCATGCAGGGATAAGGGCTGACGTCAGATATTTGACAGGATTGATGGGCAATAAGAAAACTGAGAAAAGAAACAGATCGAAGCCGAGACGTCCTGGATCCTGATTGCGAAAAAAACGTGTACGGTACGGTGCTAAACAGAGAAGGAGCAAGTGGAATGATACCAAATGTAGGAACACAACAGTTTTAGGAGGAAAACCAGAATGACAGCTTACATTGACATTCGTTCAAGCCATTGTATTGTATTGTATTGTATTGTATTTACGATCATGGGCGATCCACACATGGCGTGGCGATTACTGCCCATTACGCCGTGATTAGCAAATGTTGCATATTTGAACTGCTGCAGCTAAACAAGCAAGACAAGTAAATTAAGCACACGAAATAATACATCCAAGACCGCGCCTCATAACCATCCTCCCTTCCATGGACACTCATCCTTACCCCAGATCGAGCTCCGATGCCGTAAGCCCTGCTCCACGTCAGTTCGCCGTTCTCCAGCATCCTGGACAGACGGCATGTTGTCGTCACCGCCTTCCCGGCCACATCCTGCTGCGGCATGGCCAGCTTCAGGGCCTGCGTCAGCAGTGGCGGCAGCTGCGGTGTCCAGTCGACCAGCGCGCGCGCTGCCGCCGCCTGCTGCAGCAGCAGGTAAATGCCGAGAGCCGCCAGCGCCGCGCCGCCCGCTACCACCCCGAGAATGTCGTACTTGGTACAGTCGCACTTCTTGTAGTAGGAGTCGTGACCGTAGCCTCCGCCGCTGGCTGCTGTGTAGAGATCACCGCCGTAGGGGCTGCTGTACTCGCTGCTGTAGCCGTAGCCGGAGCTGCTCTGACGTCCAGAGACCGAGGGAAGAACGGAGGAGGAGGAGAAGGAGGAATAAGAGGAGGACATGACAAAGACAGGTGAAAAGGTGAGCGCAAGGAAGGAGATGACGGCGGTCTGGAGGGTGGTCATGTTGGTGAGAGTGACGTCGGGTGCGCCGACTGTCTGTGCGGGAACGACCGACGGGATGCGACTGGTCAGAGGTGGTCAGTTGGCAAAGTGCGGGCTCGGCGCCGACCGCAGCGCTGCCCCGCGGAGGCTGCGCGAACTACCCCCGGTCCGCTCGTGGTCAGCGATAAGGTTGGGTGCTCGGTGGTGGTGGGGCGGCAGGGTGCGAATTTACAGTGGTCTCTGGGGCGTGGGGTGTATCGACACGGAGAGCACTGAAGCGTGCAGTTTGCTCACACTGCCCTTCCGCCACGAGCTATCAGGTAGCACCCGAAACCAGGCCAGACCGTTAGATAAGCGCGAGTGCGCAGACGAGACGACAACTCGAGTAAACTCGGGTTTACAGCCCAGCTCAGGCATTAGACATAACTGATATTGGAAAAGTCAACACAGTGAATGCGGACGGAGAGAAGGGAGCCAGCGAAATGTGTTTCTAGAATAAACTGTGTCCTGACATCGACCTATAACTTCCATCCGTGACATTGATGCTACATCAGGAACTAGGGACAGTCTTACACCCACAATGTGACATACTATGTTTCCTGGCGTTTATCTCCTGCAATTATCAGTTAGGAAGAGGTAATAGATAAGTTGTTTGAAAAATAGAGTTGATACGACCTAGTTTACGTGACAGGTGCATATCATTTGTCACAAATCTCTACTGAATTTCTGAGGCTTACAATCCTTTGCAATTCAATGTGCGCTCAACCTCCTCAATTCGGGGCGCAGTGCAGCGACTGTGCTATTGAAATATCTAACTTTGTTGAATACCAGATGGGCGAGTGATAGGTATGACTACTGTACTCGTACCTATATGTACGGTGATTAGCAATAGATTTGTTATGACGCAATGAGCACATAGTCTTCGCCTGCTACATTTCGCAGGCCACATAAACGACATTTCTAGCATTAATTTTTTTAGCATAGCTTATGTGCTCACTTTTATCTGAATGCAAAGCATCGCTCAGCCAGGCTCAAAACGAAGAGCTTGGGGAGAAAATATATGGGCAATACTAAGAAGCTACAATCCTGCATAACGCTTGTCTGTGTTGAATTGGTTGACTTGATGGGCTTAGGCACCTGTCTAACCTGAGCCTTGAATTTTTCCTGCCCGGCTTCTCTGTCGACGCTTTCAAGCTCTTTGGTCTCCGTGTATCGTTTACCTTTTCATGAGCCTTCTGATGCCAAGAAAGAGGCTGTCATCTCTTCGCATCACGACAGTGCTGGTCCTGACCGGTCGGCAAGTAGAGACGACCGGCTACTATCGCAGCTATCGGGTGAACGTTTTGAGCCAGTCGTTCGGTGACCTGACCCGGCAGTGACCTGACCTGTGGACCGGAACGATCCGGCCATCGAACTGACCGAACGACTCCCACTGGACTGAGAGGACTGCAGTTTCTTAGGGGCAGACGTGCATGGGATACTATGAATACATTTAGGAGACATCAGATGTTTGCCGACAATCAACAAACCTGCACAGTGCACACCAGTGTCAAGCTTCATTGCGCACGGTGTCTAGGAGAAGTTATTTCATCCATTGCCCCTAATGCTGGCAAAAAAATACGATGTTGACAACGATTCACCGTTTGTTGCAACACGGTTTGGCCTATGAAAAGTAAGCGGACTATGAACAAAATTTATTGGCTGTCCTGATCCGTTCCCGAGGCTGCCTTACGAAGAGAACAAACAATAAACACCCAAAGTTGCGTACAATAAATACGGTTATAAGTTTTCCCGTAGGCAGAGCATCGGAATAATCATCATGGACCATGTCATAAACATAATGCCTTTTCATAGAGCGTCCCTACGCTCAAGAGATTGCTCACGTCAAAATGCAGGTTCGTACAGGAATTATTGTTCAGACTTCAGACTATCGCACGGAGCTATGATCTCGTTGGTTATAGATTGAATAACACACCCAGAACAAGCTCAAGGCTCACTGGGTCCATGCCATTTCTCTTCATTCAGAAAACCTAAGTTTCTTTCCACATCGGCCGTATTCTGGTTTGACTAGTATGCGACAATAGCACAAGACTCGGGCATATCCAGTGCCAGCAGATTGGCATCTGAGAAGGCGCAGTAGGCCAGGCCGCGGGAGGCCCAGCAGTCGATGAACTGGTTGACAGTGATCTCAGGAATGTTGAGTGCTAGCGGACTGCAGCTGTCGTCCAGCCACTGCAGAGGAACCGACCAGTAGCCGCCGAACTTCTTGGCCAGGGCGTCCACCAGACCGTAAAAATTCAGGTGGTCGTCGTCGCCAATGAAGTCCTGCAGGAGGCAGCTGACGTGTTTGATGGCGTCGTAATACTGTTCTTTCAAAGTCTCGCTGTTCGGTCTCTGGCCGCATTCCATGTTGGTGTGTCCAGTTATCTCGCCGAAAGCATCCAGCATGCTGTTAGGGCTCATCGGGCAGTTTCCTTGCAGGAAGCTGATGCGCTGTGTCAGACTCACGTCGTCCAGGTCGTCTGGCGTCTGGCTGCGCTGACTTTCGCAGTCGGCAAATAAGGAGAAGCGTGCGCAGAGGTAGCTGTAGACGGCCTGCTGCCGTGGTTTCAGCGCGGCAGACGACATCAGGCGGCAGGCGACGTCCCTGTTCTCCTGGGCGTCATGCCAGCTCGCGTCTTTGGAGTAGGAGAGCAGCAGGCTTTCCTTCAGGGTGACGTTGAAGCATAGGTTTCCGTCAACGGTGTCCACTTGATACCGACTGTGAAGGTGCAGAATCCAGTTAGCTTTAGTTTTTTATCTGTTTTGATATTTACCTTTTGTTGTAGTTCTTATACAGTTTTTTTTTCTTTCTGGTAACTTTTGAGCCTTGAATATCATTGCAATCATGAACGGACATTTTACTCATGCTCTTGAAATCGTTACATGGTAAGAGATGGTCAGAGAAGCCTAATTGGATAATTTTTTTGTCGATGACCTCCCCATTCGTCGCTCACAAAGTGCTCACATCCACACTTACCTATGAGCCAAACAGTTGTATAACTGCACGAGCGCCGGGACGCCGGCGCACTCGGCAGGCACACCACCGCCGTTCGTGACTTTGCTGTTGCACTCCTTAGCCGAGTACCATGATGGCGACGAGTTAAAATCCATAGGAAGGCACTGGCGCCACCCCAATACAGCAAAAGTTGACTCCAGACTGTCAGCGTTGTTGATTGTCTGAACAGAGACGCTACCTTTTGGCAAAGATGGGCATTGCAGGGTTATTGAAGACCGAGGAGTAATGTGATCGATAGATTGTTGATGCTGGATAGTGAATGTATAAGTGCATGCATTATATATGTTCCACATCCAATACCTTTAGCCGTGCATATATTGCGTCACACACATCGAAGAAAAGTTTTCTGAACTGATAGTCGTCCATAGTTGTTTGAAAAAGCTACATAAAATCAGTAAGCCTTATGATGACTCAATTTAGCTGACAACACTGGAAATACTCGTATTTTACCCTTATCAAAGAGTTGTTTGCTAAACTGGACTTGACAACCGATCACTTCCTTTTCTATCAATTCTAAATAAAACACATTTCTAGTAAAGGACCTGCTTTGCTTGCATTAGCCCAGTGATATATTTTAAGAGCAATGGCTGGAACCTAATGTAAGCCGCGTCAGTGGTTCTGTGGGCTTAGGGCTTTCCGTCACTGCATGGACTCACTGGAGCGAGTCTGGGCAGAGATGCGACCTATCATCAGCAGCCCAGCTCCGAGCGCCAGCAAACTTAGCCGGACCGAGGACGCCATCCCTGCTGCTGCTGCTGCTGCTGCTGCTGCTGCTGATGCTGATGCTGATGCTACCACTGTTGCTGCTGCGAGTGTGCCCAGCTCCTGGTGGTTACTTACGATGGAGACTTGCCACTACTGCGATGAGCCACGTCGCAGCCAAGTGCAACTACTCAAATGTTTAGTTTTTATAGGCCGTAGACGCACAGTGACGCATCTCGCGTGCTGGTTCAGGTGCTCTTCACACCACGTATATGTGGAGGTATCGTTCGACGTACCTGCCCTATTTCCCTATGTTGTAACAGTTGTATAGGCACATAGGCATCGGCCCAATGCCGTTTTTATCTGTGTTAAGCTATGCCAGGTATGTAGGTACAGTCCGATATGCATACGAACAGAGTCTTCCCGTCTGATGAAATGAATGCGTGTGGATATGCAGCCAACAAAATAGCTTACAATGTAATACATCATGTTACGTCGCGAATGGAATCAACTCCAATATTTTTCCTCGTAAGGTATTCTTATACGAGCTTTCGATTTTTTTTTTGAAGACATGATCAACACAACATAATTTTTTTTTGCTGCTCCAGGCCACAAACATCGTTCGTTGTTATGTGAGAGGGCAGCATGCGTTTCAAACAATTTGATAACGCCTCCTTTCACTTGTATTGCTTTATCTTTTTCACTCGCCTTGTGACAACCAATTAGCCTCGTTTTACGTGGATTAGGATGGCCTACGCTGAATAAAAAAAAATCGCATGAGCTAAGGACTGCGCCCTTGTTTGATAACATCCCATTTTCTGTATGTATTTTATGACATAAAATGTTTTGTTTTATTTGGTAAAATCAAGCAGCTCCGCGAGAGCCTGTTCAACTGACTTAAAATACGCAGAAAACTTAACTTATATATCCTTGTCAGCTAAAGCATGGTTTATGTACATTATATTATGTACATTTTGTATATTTCAAATAAAGATGAAAGCAAGTATGTATATTTTCAATCATATTTTTCAATTATATTTCACATCTCATATCACTTTACTTTTGGCTACCTACGATTCTTGGATAGTTCTCAACAAAACACAAAATACAAAATAAATAACTCTGTCACCACAAGCAAAGCTTCACAACTCACAAAGCATTACAAAACTCGCCATTGCAGCTCCCCAAGTTCAATGCCCCACTCGACCCTCACAACTGTTAGCAATGCCGGCGCCGTTGCCTGTGCTGAATTCATCGGTCGATGTCGGAGCCACACGTCGGGTAGTATCGGTCACAGTCCGACTCGGAGCCGGTCAAGGTAATGCCGCGACACATCCTCAAGAATGACCGGTCGCCGGATGACCTGACCCCTCCAGGGGCCATCCGAGAGCCCAGGAACCAGCCAGCCGGCAAACTGGGGACACACATGGAAACACCGTCAGATAGTCCCATCGAACATAGTGGTCAGCGTTCGAAGTTATCTCCCATGTCAACAAATCGCGGTAAAACCCAAACACAGTAAACCCTCAGTGATGTCTCACACATGCCGCAGGCATATGTGACAGATGGCTATAACACACCACCAACAGCCAGCTATCAGCTATTTTCAGGAACTTGCAACGGTGGCCTGTAAGGAAAGAAGGCGTGTCTTCACGCTCGGCAGAGTGCGGACACCGTGAGCAGACTTCCCCTCCCCACCCTCCTTCCCGCTCCCGAGAACATCCGTCCGTTATTTATTGCCTGCGGGTGAGACCGGTCACTCTGAAAATCCCACAGTGGTCTGTTGTGATGGAAGTCTGGTGCGAAACTGACCCAGGTCATGCATGACGTATAGCCTATGGTTAAATGCAAACAATGAACACGATACACATGTCCGGTGGAAACTAATGATTTGTGTAATTATTTCTACCACACATGCATGCACATAAATTCCAACGCGGGTAAACCACAACTGAATAGCTCCATGTGGATTGCTGAGTTTTCTCCTGAAAACCAGGTGTGATTGACGATACATACCTGGCCAGTTTTGTAGCGAGGTAGTGCGTTGGGCTGATGGAATGAGCTCTCTGATTCAGTCTACACAAACTGTGTGGGAGACAGGTGGGCTCCTTATCCTGGTCCAGGAACAGAAGGGCCATCTGGGCCACCAGAGACAGGCCCTGTTCGTCAATCTCTGAAACATAGCGGGCAACGGGTGATGTAATGTGGGATACAAATGCAAATATCATTCCGATAAAGCTAATTAGAATATGGCCTTCAAAAATCGTCACACGAAGTTAAAACAAAGAAGAAAAATTAAACTGGCGCAATTAACAATGATTGCAATCAAGCAACAACATATGCATAAGCAAAAAGTAGAGATTTGCAGCAAAAACCGTGACAACCACCAATATAGCACAAGAAACAATCGCACAACTCAAAAACACCACGATCTCACCCACACTCCTCTTTTGACCTCACCAATGACCACTAACACCTATTGATCTCATTTGACCTCACTAATGACGTCTTTTGACCTCGTTTGACCTCACCGATGCCATCGAAGAAGGAGAATGAGCGTGCTGCCATCGCCTGCGACGCCAGGTACAGAGCGTAAGCGATGAGAGCTCCCAGGGCGGCAAATCCGGCAGCAGCCCCCACCAGGCCCGAGAAACAGTCCGAGCCGCCCTGTGTGGACAAAACGGGAGGAGGGAGGGTTGAAAACAGGTGAAGGAGGACAGAGGGTGCACCTATAGGGCATTGGGTGCAATAAACGAGCTGTGTTGAACGCAGAGTACCTGTGGATGATCACGTTAGGCATTTTGCATTGTTCAAGTTGCATTGTTCAAGTTCATTTTGCATTGTTCGGATCGAGCAACTTAGTGCAAAATGAAAGTAAAATCAGTGAATAAATCAGATTTCAATAATTATTCATTGTTTGATAATTGATAACCTGGCCGTCTGTCAAAATATATAAAGATTTGCACGCTTACTAGAGTTGCAATACACTATAAAATATAACGTTAAACATAACATATTTTTAAACTCTAGTTAGCTTTTTTACCGCGACCTCTCGAGCTGTCCCCTCGTACTCACGTCTCGCGCCTGCACCAGCGGCTCCGGCTCATCTCCAGCGATCCACTCGGCCACCTGACAGGTCACATTGACGGTCGTGTCGGCAAAGTTGCGCGCCCGCGCCGGTCCTCGAAACACCTGCGCCACTTCCGTCTCAAACTCATCCAGCTCTCGTCCCAAGCTGCGGCGACGGCGCATCATCATGGCTTGTGTGACGAGAATGTAGACGGCGAGCGCCGCCAGCGCACCGCCGCCGGCCAGGACCCCGAGCAAGTCCAGGTCGCCGCAGTCGTCCTTGTGACCATACCCGTACGACGGAGGCTGGTATCCGTAAGACGGAGGTTGGTATCCGTAGGAAGGAGGCTGGTATCCGTACGACGGTTGACTGTATGAAGACTGGTGGCCGCCGTCTGCTGCTGGGAAGAGATCGGGGTATGATACTAGTGCCTCAGGTTCGGGTAGTTCTTCCTCTTCGGCGCTCGCAGGTGTTGATGTCAGCGTCAGCAGCAAAACACCGGTCAGAAGCACTGACATCAGCAGTGTCAGCAGTCGGCTCAGAGGAAATGAAGTCGATCCAGAGGCCTGAAAACGCATGGTGACGATGAGGAGAGGCGTACCGGTCGTCTCGGCCCACGGATGCTCCCGGCTCGGTGGGCAGCAGACGTCTGCTCGGTTCGTCTTCAGACACTGCTCTCACCGGAACGAACGGCGAGTTCAGAGACATCTAGCGGCAGCGCTACGAACTGACCCACTACCCGCCTGGACGTGGGACTGATGGGAGCGAGACGGATGGTAAAAAAGTGTGATAATGTGACAGCGGTATATTTTACGTTATGGCCATGCAATAATCAAATGTTTAACGATGAAAATAACAAGGCCTTTCACGGAAAAATGGGTGAAAAAGGTGAATTGCAACGAAACTTTCATTACCATCGAGTTTATTAAACGTTAACATTCCCCTAAGATTACATGACCAATTGAACTTTGACCTGTGACCTTTCTGTAACATTTCAGACCAGAATTGTGATTCGATGTGCATAGGTAAATACTTGTGTGATCAGTATACCAATATCTGAAATGATGTTTTCCCATGGATTTTAGTGGATGTTAAGGTCATGTGAATTTCATCTCAAGAACGTTGGCTTTGCATGAGCTTGATCAGCCTTTTTTGAGCTTGCAGCATCTTTGAAGGATAGTTTTGGAACCGATTTCTAATTCAGCACCAATTTGAACATTCGAGAAGTTGTTTGGTACTCTTGCATCATATTGGCAAAGTTACCAATGATGGTTTACATCTGTCATACTGAACTGAAATATCCACACGAGACGGGGAGACGGGGCGGCCATTTTCCTCGGGACTCACGGTCGGGGCCGGTTTTGCCGAATTCCTGAGACGGATAGACAGCTCACGCATCAGCTAAGCCTCTATTTTGGGGGATGCAAATTGACAATTAAAGTTTATATGCCTTTTTGGAGCATTTGCGGAAAGTCATTCAGGGTTTTGTGTAGTTTCCGCTTGAACTATTTTTTCAGACCTTTAAGTATTTTGTTTGAAAATGTCGAACATGCCCGATATACATGCGAATTATAATACACTACAGTTATACACATTGCCGGCGCTGTTCGACAATCCATTACCCATTACTGACACGGTCCTATGTACACCCAGCAAATGTTGTTGAAAATGTTTTCTTAATCTGTCAGAAAAAAAAAACGGTCCCACTGACTGCTTCCTCCGTGTTTGCGAAAAAAAAAAAAACAAAGCAAATATCTTCATAGAAAATATTTTAAGCGTTTATGGTTAAAAAAAAAACATTTTACACAATAAGAAACCGGCGAGGTAGTTCTGGTTGCCGTCAGATCATTCCAACAATGTTGAAGATTATGGGACATTTTACAGTCACTAAAATAACTATGCATTTACATCACCACTGATCCAAACGTGTGGCTATTCAAGATCCTTCAAATCTGATAGGACACGTTCTAATGAATGTGGTGTTACTTTTAAGGGCCATTTTCTACAACAGAAACCCATATAGCATGTATGTATAACCGATGACTCACCTACCCGGTGACTAATGGCACATGTGGTTAGACAGGTGATCGTCAGTCCACGCATAAGAACCGTTCGATTGAGTCCCTCTGTTGCCGTGACGGATGTTGTCACAGGTTGTGAGCCGCCAAATGTGTGTCACTTTTACAAGAAATAATGTGTGAAGCCTGTATCACGATGTTACCTTATGACTCAGCGTAAGCGTTACCTTATGAGTAGGTACAATGACTCGTTAACCCGCGCCCCACTGGGGTCTGTGTATAACACGCCCTACTGGGGGGGGGGGCTATTCATAGCCCCCCTCCTAACTCCGAAACTACTGGGCCGATCGTCAAAATTCAAACGGCGTCTGATAGCCCCGGAAAAACTGTCGAGCGAAACCTAATTTCATTGACCTCGAGGTCACCGATGACGTCACAGGTCAGGTCAAAGTAAAAATTATTAGCATTTTGGCTTGTACACATTTTGGGCTCTGGCCGCCGTCTTACAAGTCAGATCAGGCTCATTTTTGGTTTCCACACTCGTGAACAGATGCTCTAGATACCTTGAGGGTACCAAACTTGTACTTTGATTTTCAGGTCAGGGTCAGGTCATCACAGGTCACGAAAATATTATATCATGCGTCGGTCACGTGACACATGTTTTATGGTCCATTTAGGCCATATATTTCAAATTTGATGTCGTCTGTGTCATTCGAGGTCATTTTGAGTCGAATTTAGCTTAGGTCAGGTCACTTTCAGGTCAAAAAGGTCAAATTTTGAAGTTAAAATTTTTCAATAAAAAAGGTGTCTATTGGATGCAGTTTGAGCTCAGGAACACGATGGTGCCATTTATATTGGTGTACGATGTCAAATACGTACTGAAAATTTGATTTGAAAAATTAATAATTGTAAATTTTTTGCAATAATGCGTATAACTTGGCCATTTTTGAAGATATTTAGCTAAAACTTGCTAGAGTTAGTCATAATCATGCGTTCTGTCACATATATTCCGGTTTTTTTCGAAAAGTCAAAAACTTTTTGAAAAAAATATAAAAATATAAATTTTGAATATTATTATATCAAATTTTCGAAATTTTCAAAATTTTGAAAATCCGAGATAGCAGTTTGATAGCGCGGTCAATTCTGAGTCCTTTCATGCAAAGAAATTGGATCTAGCTTAAAAACTGAGCTCTTGGGAGCGATTGCCGTGGTTCAATGTTTTGCGTCGAAATCGGACGAACATGACGTCACTCTGACATCATTTCCGGCCGACCTATGGTAGCTACGAAGTTCAAATTTTGACACAAGGTGTCAAATTGATGCAGCCGAAGGTACTGAAAGTTTTGCGTCGATCCGTCAAGCGGTTGGGAAGTTATTGCAGAAAAACGGGAGGGGGGCTATAAATAGCCCCCCCCCCAGTGGGGCGTGGGTTAAACGCCTTTTTTCTTATCCTCCGTCACCGCTTCAATGCCATCCGTCGATATTCTTTTACTGTAATTATAATATTTTGAATTACGCTTAGATGTGTCTTAGATACGCTTATCGCTTTTATCTTACGGACATCGGAATCAAGTGAAGCTGAAGTGTGAAGAACATATTGTTTGCACCCTCTTTGAGTCTCATGGCAGCAAAATAATAACCTTTCCAACATAAACTGAGCCATAGATAACATGACTCATCTTATCTATGACTGAGTAAAATGTTGCTACGTCTGTTACCATTAAAAAAATATACAAGCATTCGTGAAAACCCAGCGCTGGTATAGTCCACCGAGCACGGCACCTTTCCAGCGCCGGCCGGCGTCCAATTCACTAATGGATCGAGAGCAAAATGGCGGACGACGAGGCCGACGCGCGACACCGGGGCGACGAACGAGTCACATACGCGTCCGAGTCGGTCTCGACGGGACGACTAAAGTCGGCAGAACGGGCTGGCAAAGTCGCGTCCGTGTGCCCAGGTGCGCTGCTGACCCGGGCTGACCCGTCCAGGGACACATTGGACCCGGCTGGGTAGGCTGGGTGGACCGGCGAGGCAGAGCGGTGTAGAGAGGTGATGGTGCACACTGCACAGTGAGGGAAAGCACATGGAATGGGAGGTGGAACGTGCATTTAGCGAAGCTTGCTGAAGAGGTGTTGGGCTGACATTTGGATGAGTTATATTTGGATGTGCAGTGAGGACCGTTCAGAGGTTTTACAGTTATTAGCCTGGATCAGCACTCTAACAAATGATTGGAATGGAAGTGAGCTATGATGTTTGGTGATCACGATTAAATTTTACTCATCTGTTCCGCTGTCGAATAATTAATTAGCAGCAGGATAGATAAAAAGTCAAATGAATTCCACCTCAAAGTTACACCACCGTTCCATACTGTTCTAAAAATACATGAACCGAAGCGAGCAAGATTGACAATACGGTGCTCCTCGTGGCACACACTTGCTCTAATGAAAACCGTGCAACACTTATCAGTGTATCCAACGGTCACCTGATGCAACCGTTCGCTTTACTGTCCGACTGATTTGGATCACCCACCTACACCGGGACATGTCAGCTTCACGGATGACTGACCAGTGACACAGGCCACCCACTAATGTGAACTGAAACACATCCGCATCCTTGGGTCAGCTCAGGTGATAGGCAATATCTTCTGACCCCGTCATCGTTCATCGCGCTCGTCCATTGCTGCAATCTCTGGCCGGGGGCTAGCCGGCGCAGTTCGACAATTTATCACCCATTACCGGGCCGAGCAACTGTTCTCCGCCCTCCCCCGTGTCGACCCGGGGTCAGCATGCCGCCGTGGTTAGACCCTCCATTACCGTCCGGCCCACCTGGGCTGATGACGTCACCGGTGGACGGTCCGTGCCTGGTGGACCGAAACGGAGCGCTGCCGCCTCTGAACAGAGGTCACGCGGCGCGTGCTGGGTCGGTTAGTGGCCGGTGCAGGCTGCAGGTGACCGATACTGGGGTTTATGGGGTCAAACCAGGTCAGATTCCACCGATAGCGGTCGGTTGAATCATAATAGCTCGGGGTGGCATCTAGAAACAGGGGCGGTGATTGTGTGCGCAACTGAAGCGGTGCAGTGCGCGTGATTGACCAATTTCAGAGGTCACTGCCCGGCCTGGATTCCGCAACATATTCGTATATCTTTTCAGTCATGGCGTATCCACATAGTTTGATGGTGGAGCAAATCAGATGAACATGATATAATGCACTCCTGATGTAGATGAAAACCGTGTCAACCGTATAGTGCCGATAAGTGCAAGTTCATACCACAATCTATAGATATTTCAGATATCAATCAATTTTCTAACAGCAAGTTTTGCAGTCTTTGATTTGACTGTCTTTTAGAACGCCAAATTTAATAGCAGAAATATGATGTCGGATAGAAACGAGCGAAGATCACGCAAGGTGCCAGCTAATGACATCTTACAAAAAAACAAGATTAAATTAAAAAAACATATCATACCCAGACATAACAAATGATTGAATTCTAGTTTATGTAACTAGGTTCACAATGACGGTATTTGTTACCGAAAGCTCTGTTTTTTAATTGTGTATTTGAATACATTGTCGTTTTTTATAGCTTTAATCAGTCCTACTCGTACATTTTTTGTCAACTTCTTTACATA